CGACGAATGGGCGGTCTGCGTGTCGTCAGGCATCAACGTGACGCTGACCACGCCCACGATCCCGCTGGGCGACGAGATTGCAACAGCGTACGATTATGGCCCTATATACGGTGCCATCTTGAAACACCTGCGCTCCTAGTAGTGCTACGCTAAGTGCCCTGTCAAGGACGACGCGTAATCAGATCGATCGGTATCGACTGGACGGCAATCTGCTGAAGTACAACATCGACAGGTTCGATGGACCTCGGGTCGTCGTCCCAAACGACACCGATCAACGTGCGCGTATAATCCACGAGTACCCTGACACCCCGACTGGAGGACATCTAGGGTCGCGAGAAGACGTACGCGGCACTGTCGAGAGACTTCTATTGGCCACATATGTAGAAGTGGGTACGCAAGTGGGTCCGCACATGTGAACTTGCCAGCGAGTCAAACCGTCTTCGACGTCTCAGGCCCCATTGCGCCCTCTTCCGATCGCCACGGAAGCTTGGCGCTCCATTTCGATGGGCTTCATCTTCGGTCTTCCGCCCGATACAGCCGGGCGTACGGGTGTACTTGTGTTCGTCGATCGTTTCAGCAACATAGTTCAAATCGTTCCTGTGGCAGCCTCGATCACCGCGGAAGAGTCCGTGGCCCACTTTGTCGACGTGATTTTTTGTCACCACGGCCTGCCGGAGTCTATCGTATCTGACCGCGACCCGTGGTTTACATTCGCATTCTGACTACGCCTCTTCGAGCGCTTGGGCGCTAAACTGCCGATGTCGACCACGGCTCATCCGGAGTCGGATGCACAAACAGGACGCGTCAGCCGAGTTTTTGAAGACGTTCTCCGCAGCTACACGATTTCGTACAGTGGCTGGGGCTCGTTCCTGCCGCTAGCTGAATTCGCGCTCAGCAACGCCGAGCCCGCTTCGACGGACCTGACGCCATTCTTTGTGAGCAACGCTCGACACTCACGTGTCCCGGCCCTTCTCGCCGTGGGCCACCCGCGGATGCTGGCGGCTCCACCCTTCGCGGGGGTAGAATCTCCTTCGGTCTACATGGATGCTGATGCTGCGGTCAGTCCTGCAGACAACGAGTCCGTGTCGTGGTCCTCACCGGTACGTGAGCCAGTGTCTCAGCGCGCACCATAACCTCACTGGTGTCAACAGGCCTGCCGGCGCATTTGACTTCAGGGTTATCTTCGGGTGTAGCCAGTGTGAGCCCCTTGACTCGCCCTCCGTCCAAGCAGACCATCGAGACTCCTCGGCGTACCACATCTCCGATAACGAGATGGACATCGCAGAACTTGATCGATCCAGGCAGCAAGGCTCGCGAGCAGGATGTTACCACGGCCAATTATACACCGAAACCCTAGGTTCTTCCAGCTGACCGCTCGACAGTTGCGGAATTTGTCATGCAGAGGCAATCCGTCTCAAGATTCGTCCGCGACGCACTGCAGACCGCTGTGGACAAGCAAAAGGAACAAGCAGATAAGCACGGTCGAAAGCACGTGAATGTATTCAAGATAGGAGATCGCGTTCTCCTACCGACCGAGGGAATCCGCGCTTCTGTCGTAACCAACCTGGGCGCCTACAAACTTTCTCCACGCTTCATGATCCCTGAGTAATCAAGGCTGTGGGCGACGCCTACACCCTGGACATCCCGTCGCCACTTATACACCACCCGTCTTTTTACGTCGGGCGACTCAAGCGGTACTTCCCTGTGACGATGCCTTACTTGATCCAGAAGACAAAGCATGCGTCGGGCGACCATCCCGACGCCCCTGACGCGCCAGAGACCCGTCAGCCCCAGCTCTCGCGGACGATCACCCTGCTAGGCAGAGCCAAGCACAGGCGTCTGCAATCCCTGTAGGCGAGATAAAAACTCCCGATTCGACTGCCGAAGCTTCGACGCAATCTGCTCAACCCGCCAGGCACGATCTTCCGCCCGCTAAGCCCCAATCTGAGCGTCCCACGCACGGTTCGAAGCTGTCTCCACTTCGCCCTGGACGTACAGGGTGTACGTCGTTTCACCGTGAAGGCCCACCACCGATAATTGACTCGGTGGGTGATGCGCGCTGGATTGTGGAGCGTATCGTTGACCACGAAGATCCCCACAGTTCGGCTGCTCAGCGTAACTTAAGTAGTCCTACTTCTCGCGCGGCCCCGACCGCGCGTCGCTATCTGGTACGTTGGCCCGGCTATCCTCCAGAGCATGATACGTGGGAGCCCCGCGCCAACCTTCTCCGCGACGTTCCGGACGTGATCCACGCGTATGGCATCAGGCTACTTGCGAATAAGCATTCTGCGGGTCACCACGCGGAGACCGTGAACGAGATCGAGAACGCCCACGCCCACGCCCACGATTCACACGAGGAGGCGACAGCGATGCCGCGCTCCGACGCGTGCAACGTCGGCGTGAGCTGCCGCAATTAGCCGCCTGATCCATACTTGACAGGGTGCTTCCCGATCCATCCTGACGCTTCTCCGCTGAGTGGCCGCTTAGCGAGATGTTCCCTCCATTTGCGTTACGTCGGACGGGTTGAAGTACCACAGGACTCACATCCCTCTCTCACGTGCACGAAGCAGAGTTAATCCCTATCCCACGCGTTGTTGGAGACCTTCACGCGCAGCTCCTCAATCGAATGATCCGCGAGGATCTCCTCGCAATACGCCAACCAGTCGGCATAGCTTTCTCCAGCACGCGACATCCGGTTCCATCGTCGGGTGAAGGTACACCAGCAGCGACGAAGTCCCCACGATCAGCGCCTTCGATGTACTTCTTCCGCGTCGCGCGGAAGCGACGGAAGTGGTTCTCCATAGTGTCGAGAGTATTCGGATTCTCCGCTCCTGACAAGTCGTACAGGTTCCAGGGAACCAAAGCGTCATCCATCACGCGCGACCGCGTGCTTCCGGTACTGATCCTCGTGACTGTCGGCTCTGCCGGTGTCTCGGCTGTCTGGATCACCGCCGCCGTTAGTGTGTCGACGCCTGCTGTTGTCACCAGCATCGCGGTGGTGCTGACGCCCGTTGACTGCGTCGTGTTGTCCTCCGCATCTTCGCTCCGTTGGGTTTTTGAATTTTCTTCAAATGTGTTCCGTGCGCTTACGTTGCGTAAGGGCAACTTAGAGGGGAGGGTGAAGTAATGGGCCCAACCCAATTACATCAGTAGGTAGATATTTCTTTAGTTATTAAATAAGTAGATAAAGTGTTCCGTGCGCTTACGTTGCGTAAGGGCAACTTAGAGGGGAGGGTAAAGTAATGGGCCCAACCCAATTACATCAGTAGGTAGATATTTCTTTAGTTATTAAATAAGTAGATAAAGTGTTCCGTGCGCTTACGTTGCGTAAGGGCAACTTAGAGGGGAGGGTAAAGTAATGGGCCCAACCCAATTACATCAGTAGGTAGATATTTCTTTAGTTATTAAATAAGTAGATAAAGTGGCACACGGGTAGCGTGTGCCAAGACGTCATCATCTGATTGGTTAATAGTGAGGTGCCAGACTCATTTATTGAGCAATCAGGTGTAGACATGTATTTTAGTGGTTCACACGAGGCCAGGGGTAGCCACCCTGGTCCTAAATAAATCAGAGTTGAATTTGACACAAACCTAAGATTTGGTGTTATTATTGCGAGCTATAGTGTAAGTTAGTTACGGTAACGCTTACCCCGTTACAATCCCCCAAGGGCTACTTCAACACTTCCATCCGAGCGTATTTGGCCCCCATTTGAGCCGACGTAGCAATCCCTTCCTTGCTGCGTTTGTTAGGGGCTACCGGAAGGCGCGTTGGTGAGAACGCCATCACACGAACGATATTCGGTTCTCCAGCACTCACAAAATCCAATTCATCGCCACCCCCGATGAGCAACATTTTAGTTTGTGTCAACTCCTTCACTCTCCGTATGGGCGTAGGTGCTGGTTTCATCTCGAACAGGAATGGCTTCGAGCTGGGCGAGTGATCTTGGCAACACGCAGCAAACTCTCGCAGAAGAAGCTCCATTTGAAGACGACGTCTGAGAGTATAATTCCTCTTTAACACGGCGTTAAATGTTCCGCGGCATTATTCGTAGTAGCAAAGCCGATAGGAGTCGCGTATGCCTGTCACGTACTGAACGGACCCTCGAGCCATTGGGCCTTCATGTACAGTATACACAAATGAAGTCGAGAATTAGTTTCCCAATTCTCCAAAATGGTCTCCCGCATGAGCAAAAATTCGTCGTGGCTCCTCGCGAAGTGAAGATCGTATATGTCTCTCAATACAAAGGTCGCTAAAAGCGAGGGAAAAGGCTTCATCGCTATCTGTACCTTTTCCATTACATGATAAAAGCACAGAGAAGCTGAAATTTCGGGTTCCAACCAAACACAGTATGCAACGGATTGCGATGGGCCTTCTCCCCGTCCGCCATAGCGTACTAAGCCACAAGCTCCTTTTCAGTGATACATACGTATAAACGCCTCAGCGACATCAGTACCTCCTCGAGCACTGCCGTAGTCTCTTGCGAGACTACAAATAGCGCAACCAATTGGAATTCGCGAGAGCGATCTGAAATGCCTACGAGTACCATAAGGTAGTCCACATGATTCGTTTTATAGGTGGGGTCCAAATGTAGTACGAAGCACTGAGCAGGTTGCATCAAACGCACCATCAGCGCTTTGGTAGACAGACGAATAACGAAAGTCCTCTCATCGGAACCATTTCCGACGTCCAGACTGCCCTCGTCGTCGTTGATCCACCCAAACGCGAGCGTCTGTGTCGTTTGCCGCTACGGATGCGGTCACTCAACAAGTGGAGCTGGTGAACAACAGGACTAAATACTGGATCGATGACAGACATTGGAGGGGAAGAGAACGCGGGGAACAGACCCGTGCCAGCAACTTGTGATTTCGACACGTACATAGAGAAGTAGGGAAGGTGGACCTGTACGATTACAGCGGCTTGCACGACCCGTTGAGTGACGACGAGATGCGGAGCTTGTTCCACCGACACCGACGGACGTGTAGCAAGCCAGCCGCGCTGACATGGAGCGTGACACAATACTCGCTGGACAACGCGTGGACGTCTTTCTTGAACCGCTGGAATACAGAGGGCGCCGCCTAATTCATCTCCACCTCGAAAGACGCGAAGCGAACCATGAAGAGCGCTCGGAGAGCGCTCTGTCAAGGCGGATTCACAACGTGGCATATGACGCCGACCGCGGCTGCAGTATGTGCATTACACCAGTAAGTGCACCTGGTGTTCGGACAACGGTCACCCGAGACCCAGTCAGGGTGCGTGGGAGCAGGAAGTCGCAGGGTATCCAGTCTCCGAGGCGGAGCGGGAACTTGTTGGGCAATAATGTAGGGCGATGAGCGATGTTAGGCGCGGCGGGCGGCCGCGCCACCCGGAAGACCTGTCGTCGTTGGAACGGTTGCCTTGTACGCCGCCACGCAGACCAGAACGCCCTCGAGAAGCACCGCTTGGGGCTCCTAACTATCGGGCATTGGACCAAGTCAACGCACGAGGTATTGGCAATGCGGAGGGATGCGCGCGTACGGTGGGGAGTGGCATGGTAATCGTCGTGCTCCAAGATCGCCTCCACAATATGACGGACATGGCCAGGAGTTTCAACGAGAGATGGAGGGCCGTCACGCTGGAACCATGCAGCGTGGTCAGCGCGAGGAGGCCGAAACCGCTCGGACCCGGCGGCGCGCTGTGGAACGGCTGAGCCGTCTGGAACGCGAGATGTCGGAGTTGCGCCGGGAGCTGGAGGAGCCTCCACGCCCTGAACGGGGGCATTCTGATTGGTGGGAGGCAAAGGCGCGGCGCTAGGGATGGCGGGTAGGTGATAACGTCGGAGTCGTCCGACGTAGAAGGTAGGATGGAGGCGTAGTGTGCAACGGGGTTACATGGTGTGGGACACACAGGGGTACGGAGTACCCGGAGAGTTAACAAACTCTCAGTACATAAGTTGGAGAGTTAACAAGGTCTCTCAATACGTTGGCTGAAAGCTAAACATTATGCATTTGATTAGGTTTAACTATGCTTGATAATTAAATAGATACATTTACCCCTAGGCGGCTTGGCCGCAATAATAGTAAATAAAACACTTCTAGTTTTGAAGCCTAAAAGTTAATGTATTAACTTTAAGCCCTGGTCTTGGGCTGTAAGTGTCCTTTGGATAAGGAACTTAGTATTAGTGACTCTTTGAGTCGAACGTCTTCCTCTGACGCTAAAGCTACGACCCCCGCTGCACTTGGTAGCACTTGTAGTCAATCCCGCTCCTGCGTCGGTTGACTATATCCTCTGCGAGGATGGAACACCCCGTGTTCGCGAATTTGCCCCCGGCGCAGCAGGACGCGCTTACTAAGCTTATGCCCTTGCTTGGCCCGGAGGGCGTGGCTCATCTTGCATCGCAAGGTCCAGAGGCGGTCACCACCAGGCTGGAATCCTTCTCCCGCTACGAGAACGCGCTCTTGGAGCACGTCCAAGAGAAGATGAGCGCCGCAACGGCGGCGGCGTCGATGATGCGTGAAGAGGCTATGAGACTGAAACCGCTCATGGTGAGCGTAAAACCCTTCGAGGGGTAGGATGGAGAGAACCCTCCTTCTCTGGACCCGTTAGGTCGAGATGGTCATGGGATCGGCCCTGCTCCAGTCTGAGCATCAGCGCGTGGTGCTGGTTATCTCCAGGCTTGGCGGTCGCGCTCGTGAATGGGCACTAATGTGCGGCACGTCTGCTGACCCTGCATTTCCCACTTGGGATCAGCTGAAGCAACAGCTTTCGCACGTGTTCGCGCCGCCTAATCAGGCGTACCGTATCCGATTGAAGTTCTTGCTACCCGCCAGGGTAAGAAGGAGTTATTGGACTATGTCCAAGAGTTGAGAACTCTTATCGCCGGAATAGCGGCAGACCCTCTTCCGAAACCGGTCAGCGTGACCGTGTGTTCATGGAGGGAATTCGTGTGAGTGCAGCTCGAACAGGAGTATTCCGTGTACACCCCAACTCTTTCGAAGAGGCGGTGGATGTGGCGTTGAATGCGGAGCACAACGTCAGGTCAGCGTGACCTGATTGGAGCGCTGGTAGCGCGAGCTCTTCGACCGGTCCGGAGCCGATGGACCTCAGCTATGCTGAAGACGAAGAAGCGGGGCTTCTTGCTGCGGAGCAGCGCCCCGGCATCCAGCGATGCTTTGTGTGCAATAGCACTAAGCACTCGAGGGCCTATTGCCCACTGCACAAGAAGTGCGAGGCTCCAGCGAGCCAGCCCTTCGGGCCATCGCCGGGAAGCGGCAACTCTCAGTAGAGACGCGGAGGAACTGAGTTCTGTTGTGCCTCGCGGAGGTAGAGGGCAACGGTGCTCAGCCCTGAAGAGAGCTGAGCTCTCTTACGAGAAGCGTGTGTGCAAGCCAGGCTGGCTAGTCGTTCAAGCGGACGTGAAGGGCTTTGCAAATCCATGGAGAGTCTTTATTGACTTGGAAGCCTCGGGCAACTACGCCAGTCGCTCCATCCTGGAAGGGAGTCAGCTGTATGCTGAGGCACAGGAAGTGCCAACGACAGATACGATCTCTGTCCGTCTCGCGACGGGGACACTGGAAACTGTGTCGAAGGTCTCTGTCGACCTTGGAGTGACGTTTGAGGGCTTCGATAGCGTGGAACGCTGTTTGGGCTTAGCCCGGGAGGCGAGGTATGACCTCATCCTTGGCATGGCATGGCTGGAACGCCATGAGCCATGGATCGACTGGAAGTCGACAACGCTGGGTACGTCGCACCCTGCTCCTAGTGGAGCCATGGTGAGGCATGAACCCACCTCTGCTAGGAAGCAGAAGCGCGTTTGGCACGATCACGAGGCCGAGGCGGCCGTAGTGCTGGGCATTGGTATGTCCGTCAACGAAGTTGCTGTTTGCCCTCAAGTCGTACGTGGTGTGGCACGCTATCCGCGGAGCGGTGCAGGTCCGGTCAATGACCAACTGCTGGGTCCTGGTGAGGACAAACGCGGCGTGGCGCGTAATCCACTGAGTGGTACGGATCTGGCCGATGACCTACCGCTGCGTGACCCGATGGTCGCGGTTGACTGCGAGTCGAGGCATCATAGGCGTGGCCGAGGAGATGCAGGTGAAGTGACACCTAGCTCACTGTGTGAGGGTCAATGACCTCTTGGCTTTCAGCCGAGTGTCTTGCGAGACACTGTATCCTCTTCGAGGAGTGATGGTGCTGATGCACCCGGTGGTGGTGACGGAGATGTCGCCACACCGCCCTCATCCGGTCGGGCTCGGTCGCGGAGGGAGAGGAGAAGATAACGCAGGGCGTCTGTGACGTCTTCGACGTCGGACGAGGTGTCCAACGTGACGAGCGGTGATGCTCCACGTGATATTGCTGTGAATAGCTGTACACACGTGAACGGAGTGACGGGGGAGATAGAAAGCAACATCAGCCTTGACACTCTGCCCGCTGCAGATTCTCTGCTAGCGCTGGACGAGATGTCCATTGCCGAGTTTGGCGAAGCCTTAAAGGCAGGCGAGCTAGCCGAAGTGGTCCTGCTGGGACCTGAGGAGGAGTTGAACTCCTCATCCGTCGTGGACGACGCGGTCCTAGAGGACACCAAGAAGGCGCTGAGCGCAAGAGGTGGATCGGCGATCCTAAATGATCCTTCAGATCCCTTCTACCCTGTGGTGAAGGAGTATGGAGACGTTGTCTCGAAAGACCCACCGACGGGCCTGCCTTCGGATCGAGGCGTGTATCATGAGATTGACCTGGTTCCTGGAACCAAATACTGCGTAACAAGGCAATGGCCTTTGCTGAGAGAGCGGTGTGACGTCATTGACGCACTCTTCCGTGTGAAACACGAGGCAGGGATGGTGCGTGAGAGTAAGTCTCCGCACTCGACACCCACGTTCTGTGTCAGAAAGCCGAACGGCAAGTGACGCATTGTTCATGCTTTTAACAAGCTAAATGTGGCCACTATCCCGACGCAAACGCCGATTCCTCCCAAGGATGTTCTGCAGAACAATATGGTAGGCTGTACGTTGTACAGCACACTCGACTTGGTCGATGGTTACTACCAATTGCTCATGAGAGCGAAGGACATTCCGCTGACAGTGGTGAGTACCCCGAGCGGTATGCTCTGGAATTGGCTGGTCATTCTCCAGGGGCTGTCAAACGCACCAGCAACGTTCAATTGTCTCGTGACGCAGTTGTTTAGACCCCCCCCCCGGGCGTACGCTCAGACGTACTTTGACGATATATTCGTCCATAGGCGTGCTGAGCACGGAAAGCCGGACGTGGAGAACCATATTGACCACTTGCGAGCGGTTCTTGAGTGCATGCGCACTAATAGGCTGTATGCCAGCTTGGACAAGTGCGTCTTTGGCGCGGAGGAGATACCTTTCCTCGGATGCTTCATTGGGAAGCGTGGCTTACGGGCAGACCCTGTCAAAGTCAAGGCCATCGTGGACCGGCCGGTTCCCAAGAACAAAAAAACACTTACGCAAGTGGCTAGGCCTAGCCAATTACTTGCACAAGTACAGCGCCAACTACGCGGAGATGGCTCGGCCATTATCAGATCTCCTTAAGAAGGACGAACCATAGTGCTGGAGCAACGAGCACGGCGGAGACTTTGAGGCTGTGAAGGAGAACCCCCACCAGGCTCCGATTCTTGTGCTACCGGACCCGGATCGTTCGTTTAGTGTCGTCTGTGACGCCTCCGATTTTGCAAACGGTTGTGCGCTACTACAAGCAGACGCAAGAGGGCGTCAACGCGTGATTGCGTTTGAGTCTCGCCAGCTCAAAGCTGCAGAGAAGAACTATCTAGCTCATGATAAGGAGCTACTTGCAATGAAACATGCTCTAGTCAAATTCAGGGTACACCTGCTAGGCTCTAAGCCTTTTGTGATCTTTACAGATCATGCGTCGCTACGCACTGCGACACAGTCGCCTTATCTCTCTCAGAGGATGGCAAGATGGCTTTCCTTCGTTGCCGAGTACAGCTTCGAGATGAAGTACAAGCCGGAGCGGCTTAATGTAGTGGCCGATGCCCTCTCGCGCAGGCCGGACTACGAGTTGGCTCATGTCACGATAGTGACGTCGTTAGTGCCTGACTTGATACGCGGAGCGTATGCTCAGGACGACATGTGCGTACCGCTGCTACGGGTTCTTGGAAGCGAACCGTTTAAAGACGCTGACAAGGAATTTTCTGGGCGCTTACGCGCGAGGCTGCATCGATACTCTATGACGGCGGCCTCCTGTATTACAGCACCGACGCTGAGGACAACCCTCGTGTTGTCGCTCCTTGTGATGAGGATCTAAAGTATCGAATCCTCTATGAGGTTCATGATACGCCCGTGGGCGGGCCATTAGGTCGAGAGAAGACCTATGTCTCTGTGGGATCGATGTACTGGTGACCCAAGATGTATCAGTGGGTTGGCATCTATGTATGCACGTGTGAGACGTGTCAACGGACAAAGTCCGCGCCGAGCACGGCAGCGCCATTGGCGAATTTGCCTATCCCCAAGGGATGCTGGGAGTCCATGAGTATGGACGTTGGGTTCGGCCTTCCCAAAGAAAAGGCGGGAAACACGGTTATTGTGGTTTTTGTAGACCGATTGAGCAAGATGACTCGTTTAGCGGTGATGTCGGACACCATTGATGGTGAAGGTACAGCTTTGCTGTTTTAATACCGAGTCTTTCGCCACCATGGCTTGCCTGAGACAATTGGCTCGGATCGAGACCCGCGCTTCACCGTGAAGTTCTGGGCGTCCCTCTTCAGAGTGCTTGGCACTCGTTTGGACTTGTCTACAGCAGACCATCCGCAGACCGACGGTCAAAACGAACGCGTT